TACCGCATGCTGTCACATCCATAAGATATGATTATTCCCATTTTGAAACACAACATACCGTAATATCCAGGGCCTAGGTATTTGCAGGACATTTATTTATAATTGTTCTATAAGCATGGAAAGATGAGACATGCCCCAGATTCCTTCATAAAATAGGACCCAGGAAGTGTGCCTCATCTGGATGGCTCCAAGCCTTTAGAACAGGGGTGTCAAACTCAAGGTCCATGGGCCCGCGGGGTGTTCAGATCCAGCTCATGGGTCTACCCTGGAAATAGCGAAGGACCAGCCCTCTGTGTCTTTGGCAGTGAAAATGGAGCTCAGGAGGGCAACTTGTGGCCTTTCCAAGCTCCATTTTCACTAGCAGAGGGTTGCAGGAGGCTGTTGCAGCCTAAAACAGAGCTCAGGAGCCCGTTTTCACTGGCAGAGCACTCGGGCCACCACCAGTGCACCCAACATGAGTGACATCAAGCTGGCCATGCCCACCCCGCCCACACTCACCTTGTCCCATCCCCCCCAAGTTCAAGCTAAACTCTGATGCGGCCCTCAACTAAATCAAGTTTGACACCCCTGGTTTAAAAGGACCTTGAAGAATTGATTCTTTTGTGAAGCATTGGGCCAAAAGCAAAAATAGTTCTCTACTCACTCAAAATGTAACAGTCAACATGTCAGTTGTGCCTCTGTGGTTCCAGGTGGGGAAGAGGAACCACAGGCCTATATTTGCCCAGTTCTTCCAGTAGTGATTTGCAGTTCTAGCAAGGTTAGATCTTCATTCACAACACACACTATTCCTCCTCTTACATCATCTTACATCCTCTTACATTTATGAATCCTGGTGGCACAGTGGTTAAAAAGCTGTTTTTCAGGCTGCCCAATGCAAGGAGTTCGATCCTGACCGGCTCAAGGTTGACTCAGCTTTCCATCCTTGGAGGCAATATGCTGACTCTGTAAACATAGTATTAGGGAGGTGTATTAGGAATAACTTCTCCATATTTCTTCTCCATCTTTCTTCTCCATCTTTCTCTCACATGGACTCTCTGAGTTGAACTGCCTCTTGCTTCCCTAGAAGGCATTCCCTCCAGTGGTGGGATTCAAAAAATTTTACTACCGGTTCTGTGGGTGTGGCTTGGTGGGCATGGCAGGGGAAGGATACTGCAAAATCCCCATTTCCTCCTGATCAACTGAGACTCAGGAGGCAGAGAATAGATAGGGGTGGGGCCAGTCAGTGATGGTATTTACCAGTTCTCCAAACTACTCAAAATTTCTGCTACTGGTTCTCCAGAACTAGTCAGAACCTCTGATTCCCTCCCTCCTGGGAGTTCAGACTACATTCGATCTTGGAGATGGACAATTTGGTCTAGTGCAGTGATGGCTAACCTTTTCCGGACCAAGTGCCCAAAGCTCGTGTGCATGCACCTCCAAAAATCAATGTGTGTGCGGCTTCTGCACATGTGCCCCATCTCGCGCATGTGCACATAGCCTCCTGCACACAGCCCTCCCACACACACATGCATGTGCACACACCCCCACATATACACACATGCATGGGTGCCCCCCCTGCATGCGTCCCGCCCCTGCGCATGCACGGCAAAGACCCGAAGACCAGCTGAACTGGGGCAACAGCTCATGTGCTTCGTGCCACCTCTGCCACACGTGCCATAGGGTCGCCATCATAGGTCTAGTGGTTAAGACACCAGGCTAAAAACCAGGAAAGCCACTCATTCTCTCTCTCTCTCTCAGCCCAACTCATCTCACAGGGTTTCTTGTGGGGAAAATAGGAGGAAAAAGGAATATTAGGTCCTTCGCTGCAATAGAGAGAGATGTAGATCTATAGATATATGTGTTGCATTTGTGCTGATAAATAAATAAATAAAGGGAGNAAAAATTGACAAAATCACCATCAGTTAAATGCAAAAAGCCGCACTGCTTGGATCTGCACGCATATTACGAAAATACGTTATGACGTCCTAGGCCCCTGGGTGGGGCCCGACCAGTAACCAATGCCAAATCCAGCGAAACAACTGGCCACTGTGATACAATTGTATAATAATAATAATTCCCCTTTTATTCAAGGACTCTGTTAAAAACCTACAAGATGGCAGTCATGCCATTATGAGTATGACCACCATCTTGTTTGTTTTCTGATCTCAAATACATCCTACATCTCTGCAAGAAATATTATTTAACCAATCTATTCCTATTTTCTTGGTTAAATGTTGGGCTATAATTCCTTCAGCTGCCACTCAACTCAGCCAATGGAACATTAGCCATCAATTATGAGAATTGTAACTCAGAAGACTTGGGTATTATCAGAAAAGTTATATTTAGCTCTCACAGCTTATAGTTATTGGCAGACATCTCCCATAAGTGGGTCAATTATTTAAAATATTCAAATCCTTTCATCTCTTACCCACAAGAATTTTACAGGAATCACAACTGTATCTACTGAAGGATAGGTGTGAAAAATCTTCCATTAAGGAAGGTCCATAATCTATCATCTCTGTTCATATGATTTATATACCTAAAACCACTCTACCATTGACTAGAATTGTCCCATGAGTAAAGAACTTCTATAGCAGTGAGTCCATACACAATGTAGCGGTCAACAACATATTTTCTAGTTGTGAAATATGTAAATTCATTATAAATTGTAGAAAAAAATCCCCTTTTCCCCCCTTCATAAATGTACTGCCATTAAAGTCTCCATTGCAAAATATTATTGAATTACAAAGAAAATCAATAGAAATATCAACACTTGGGGTTTGCCCTTCACACTTCTATGTCTACTGTTCCATTCGGTTGTTCATGATTTATAAAATGTGTTATAGTACATGTTGTGGGAAGACAGCCAACTCAGTTTCAGGCCAAAACATAGTTTAACAAATATGGTTTATAGCATTAAGGGATGATTCAAGACTCTATGACCATGTACTCTACTTACGACCACAATTTAGCCCAAAATTTCTGTTGCTAAGCAAGGAAGGTGAGTTTTGCCCCATTATACAACCTTTTTGCCACAGTTCAAAAATTATTGCAGTTCTTAAGTGAATCTGGGTCCCACCCCCACAGTGACTTTGCTTGTCACAAGCCAGTTGGGAAAGTTACAAAATGGTGATCTATAACTCCAGGTAAGTGCAACCATAATAAATTCATGACAGTTGCCTGAATTTTGATCATGTGACCATGGAGATACTGCAACAATCCCAAGCATGAAAACCAATCATAAAAGTCACATTTTTCAGTGCAGCTGTAACTTCGGTCACAAAACAAATTGTTGTAAATCAAGGACTATCAGTAAAATCCAATGTTTTTTAAAAAAAAAAATTGCAACATCTACGTGTAAGAATGTTATAACAGTCTAAACGCCAACATGTTATTTGTCCATATTGGTTTTTCAAACCTTTCCTTCTCAATCATATCCATATTTAGAGGGGAAAGAAGTTTTGCTGTTTTCCTAGTATTTTTGAGTCCCACCACAAAGGGGAAAAATATGGAATACTTCTATATAGGTGAAAATTTAAAAGCAAGTTTAGACACTCCATGAAACCATCTATGCTCTCTCTATATATTTGCCTAATCTTACAATTTCTCACTGGTTCAGTGTGGCATGCCATCTGAGGAAACTGGGTTAATCCACAAAGCCATGTTTTGGTGAAGAATGGGTACTCAGATTCTGCAAACACATCTACTTTTATCAACCTTACTCTGTTATCAACAAAACTCCCAAGTTTGAGGCCTAGTCCAAGTCCACAACTCTTTCCCCAAATTTTTGAATAAAATGTGCTTTTAAGAGGAGAGAGAATATATCATGTTCAGGCAGTAAATAAGTAAAACACAATTGAGATACAAGGCCAAAACAGATTACATACCACAAGTTTCTGTATTATTCCTGTTCATGAATCAAAACTGAACTTCTACTTAAGTCTGACTGAAAAAGAAACCCCAAACTACACTATTGAGGTTAAATAGAATACCTTCCTCCTACTCACTCCCCCAAATCCCAGACTGATTAAAAAAAATGAGATTTCTACAATGCCTCATATAAATGAAAATGCAACTCCCTTTACACCAGCAAAAAAAAAAAAGAGGAGGAAGGAAGTGAAGCACATGTAGGAGTCAGAAATTCCAGGCAATTCAGGGACACCCTTTAATAGACATTTTGTCCAACCACTATATACCAAGCAAAGTTCAGGGTTTGTTTTTAAAACAACTTCCACACTCCAGAAAATCCACAGCCACGGTTGTTTTTCTAGTTTGGTCTCTCTCTCTTCCCCTGGTTTCCCTTCAGCCATTGAATAATCCGCCTCTTTTTCCACTCAAGATCCAAAAGGATAATAAAGTGAATTAACATTTACCATGGCAGGTAGATGATTAACCAGATCTAACTCTGCACTGCAAATATATATACCCTTCTTTCAAAGCACACCATTAAAAGAAGAAGAAGAAAAGAAACTGCACCGTTCACTGATACGATCTTGAGACTTTTTACACGTGGAAGGGAGAACAGGGTAAAAAGCCACCCTGATTTCAAAACTAGGCCTTTATGGACATGCAACTCTTGAATTTTGCACCATTGTTTTCCCAGGGACCAAAGTTCATTCCAGAACTTGGCTATTAGAATATAGTTTACGATTCTGCCCCTGGAACAGTTTTTAAAAAAAGGTTTTATTTTGCTCCAATTTCCAAAACAGCGTCCACAAAAACAAATTATTATCCTCCCAGAAGATATAACAGCCTAGATTTTAAAGGGGGGGGGGTGCAAAGAAGCCATCAAAAGCCCTCCCCCCCCTTTATTATTTTCCAAAGACACAGCAAAAGCCACTGCTAAGCTCTTCCCCCTCCCCCACCGGTGTGAGTTCACTCTGCCACATTCCTCCCCCACCCCCACACCGCTTGCAAACAAGACATTTAAGGCGCAAAAACCTCATCCAACAAAACTTTTCTTTCAACCCACACTTTAAATACCAATCATTGGGGGGGGTGAAAAAATAAATTCTACTGACCTTTTCTCTTTTGGGGGGGCAAAAAAAGGGAAAAAAAACAACCCTGCACGAACAAGCAAAACACACTTCCGAACTTGGATCTCTCTTTTTTTTTATAAGACACCTCTCCGTGTGTGCGTGCGTTTCCTTCCAGCAAGAATATTATATATACATATATGCATATATAACCGCCGATGCAATATATATATATATATTTTTTTAAAAAAAAAAAACTCTCCTCTGGCCCAAATCGTCTAAAAATAGGCAATCAAGCCAGCTTGCTTCATAATGGCTGCTGGCTTTGCATTTATTAGTGCAAAAGGCTTCTCTTCTCCTCCCCCCCCCCCCCCCCCCCCCCCCCCCCCCGCCACACTTTCCAAAAACGCGATGAATCAACACTTTCCCCTCCCCACCACCAACGTTAATTTTTTTT